GGGGTCCCCATTGGGCCAGTGGTGTCCATCCCCAGGGAAGCGCGGACATGCGGGAAACGCCGGGCGTGCCCTGCTGGCTGCATCCAACCGAGGTGCCATCTCTGACTCCAGCCTCCCGTGTGTTTCTGCAGGGGCGCTGGGCATCTCCTGGGTGAAATATTATTGCCAGTACGAAAAAGAGGCAAAAACCTTACGGATGACGCCCATGGACCAGAAGCCTGGAGCTAAGCAAGTGAGTTGGTTTCTTGGAGGGATGTCTGCAAACATTGACCCAGCCATCAGGTCTCATTTTGATCCGCCCACATCATCTCTTTCCATAAGCAGAGACACAGATGCCACGTCCGGGGCAGCAGGGGCCAGCCCCACTGTCAGGAGCTGTCATCCGGCAGCACTGGTCCTCAAGATGTGCTGACAGTGGGCTGGGTCCTGACGCTGCAGCGTTATTTGGGCAGTGGTGACTTGCAGGTTTGGTCTAGCGTGAAATTACTGCCTTTCTGGACAAGGTGATTTCTGTATTTATCCATGCAAACAGGCGGTGAACCTGCAGCCTGGTTTGCACGTAGCCCTCTGGCGGCGATTGCGAGCACTTGAGTCGCTCAGGTCACTAGAGGAGGGCTTCCCAAAGCAGCGTTTCTCTGCCTTTGCATGTTTGCACAGTCACGGGTTTGTGACTTTGATTTCTGTTCTCAGAACTGGGTGCATGTGAGTGGGACGGGTGTTAGGAGAAGAGGATAGGGCAGCAGCTGCAGCTCTGAACTGTGCAGTAAGGCCACGATTTTGGGAACTGCTGCTTTCACAACATGCTTTGGTTGTTACCGGTGAGTGATCTGTGTGGGAGTTCCCTGCAGTTCCTCGGCGTGACAGAGGAGGGGTAGGACGCGGGTGTGGATGACGGACCGTGGCTCAGAGTACAGCAAGTGCGTCCAGCTGAGTCCACCCGCCCTCCTGCCACGGAGTGACGTCCCCCGGGGACTCCCCAGTCAGCCATGCTGTTCTCCAGTTCCTGATCTCATGGCCTGTGCTTTGGCTGCCCTCTGCACGCTGCAGCAATAAAATAAAATGGTTTTTTTAGAAACCTTTGGCAGAAACCTTGGCAAAAAGATGTCCAAAAGATTGACTGGAGAGATCTGTCATCATCTCTGCCGTAAACATGCCTAGTAAGGCCAATCAATGCAGGTAGGGGCTTGTAAAAATGTGAATTAGTCCCCTTCCCAAACTCTTGCAGTCTGGTGATCTGCACCTTTGGGTCGCAGCTGGCCACACAACTTCAAAGGCCACAATTATGAGGAGTGCTCTTAAAAGCCCCAGACAACCAGCACGTGCACAGAACGCAGTCAGGAGACTGTCGTCACGGCGTGTAAGCTGGACCTAATCTTGGAGGAGGCTGTCCTTGCCACCAGGCTGTCCTGGATCTGCTGGGTCCGCTTCTCTCGGAGGTCTTGCAGCAGCAGAGACAGTCGGCGTGATGAAGGCATTCAGGTTGGCAGGCTCAGCCCTAGGGTCTGGGTGGTTGCAAGGGCTCCTGGGCATCTTAGAAACCTTTGGCAGAAACCTTGGCAAAAAGATGTCCAAAAGATTGACTGGAGAGATCTGTCATCATCTCTGCCGTAAACATGCCTAGTAAGGCCAATCAATGCAGGTAGGGGCTTGTAAAAATGTGAATTAGTCCCCTTCCCAAACTCTTGCAGTCTGGTGATCTGCACCTTTGGGTCGCAGCTGGCCACACAACTTCAAAGGCCACAATTATGAGGAGTGCTCTTAAAAGCCCCAGACAACCAGCACGTGCACAGAACGCAGTCAGGAGACTGTCGTCACGGCGTGTAAGCTGGACCTAATCTTGGAGGAGGCTGTCCTTGCCACCAGGCTGTCTTGGATCTGCTGGGTCCGCTTCTCTCGGAGGTCTTGCAGCAGCAGAGACAGTCGGCGTGATGAAGGCATTCAGGTTGGCAGGCTCAGCCCTAGGGTCTGGGTGGTTGCAAGGGCTCCTGGGCATTGCTCAGAGCTCCTGCAAAGTCCTGGAGATCTCACCATCACCTTACGAATATACTCTACTCTAGGGTCAGTTGATGCCCCTTTATTAAGGGGTGTGAACACAAAGGGCCAGAGCTCAGCCCGTGGTGCCAGCCTTTCATCAGGGTGCATCTACTCAGATTTGGTCACTTAACATTCTTTTTCTAGAAGGTATTTTGTGTAAAGCTGCTTGGACCATGAATGCTGAGGGTAATTGGTAGCGCTGATCAGCCCTGATAAAGATGAGGACCCGGCTGTGCCAGATAAGACAAGCATGGTCCTGGCCTCCAAGACCAAGCAGCTGCCTGGTGGGTGGGTTTGCAGCAGTGCCCCTGCTCCTGCAGGCGCGTTGCTTGGTACCCACATGTTCAGTGCTTGTTTGCGGGGTAGTGCCCTGAAGCCCAGAACGTTTTGTGGCTGAGGAGGGGAAGCCTGGCTCACAAAGCCTTTGATCTCTGTCTTTGCTGATGGTGGGCAGGCCCGGCTGAGCTCCTGGTGCCAATGCGGAGTGGCAGGGCACCCGCTGGAGCCTGGTGCCCTACAGGCCATGCCACGCTAGGCTGCAGCCTAAGGGTGCTCAGAAACCTGAAATCCTCTCCTGTATTTCTTTCCTCTAATCTTTGCTTTAATTTTCTCTCCCAGGGCACCTTAGACCTGACACTGAAATCCTGCGTCAGGAGGAAGACTGACTCTATAGACAAAAGGTTCTGTTTTGACATCGAAACTAATGAGAGGTGAGATGCTAACCCCGTAAACCTGGATGAAACTGCATTCTGCTGTTTATTGAACAACTTCTGCTTCATTTTCCTGCCTGTCCATGGGTGAATTCCGCGCAGGTCCGGGACCATCACGCTGCAAGCGCTCTCGGAAGCCAATCGAAGGCTGTGGATGGAAGCCATGGATGGGAAGGAGCCGGTGAGTGTTCGGGGAGCTGCTGCCCAGTTTGAATGTGCTGCCGAGCAGTGTCCTCTGCCGGCGGGTCCTGGGGAAGAGCAGTGACACGGCTGCCGCAGGCTCCGTTCTGCTGCTGTCACTTCGGTGCTGATGCCGTAATTCAGGCATCAGCTCGGGCACTGCACAGCCGAAACGGGGGGCTGGGCTGTTCTGCTGGCGGCACCGCTTGCCACGGGGGTTTTGGTTTCCCCCTTTAAAGCTCTGGCACGTTCCCTGGTTGTGCCAGACTGCCAAAGGACTGCGGCCTTACTGAGTCTGGAACGCTGGGTATTTCTGTTGCTCACACACGCCTCCAGCCCGCGGGAGGTGATTTTTTTTGTCTGTCCCCGCTCTGAGCAGCGTTTGGCGTCTGGCCCATGGGAGCAGCCACCCTGCGCCAGTCTTCGCCCGCCTTTCTGTGCCTGCCGGTGTTCCCTTGGCCTGAACAAAGCAGGCTCCTGCATTTTACCACCTTTCCTCTATCGGGACAGCCTGGTGCGCAGTGTGGGAAAACCCACCTTGGGCAGCCCCCCTCGCCTTTGGAGAGCTGCCTTGCCCTCGGTGGGCTCGGTGGGGAGGGTGGCAGTGAGTGCGCTTAGAATCACAGAATCGTTTGGGTTGGCAAAGCCCTTTCAGCTCCCCCAGCCCAACCGCCCCCCTACCCCTGCCATCCCACCCCCAAACCCCGTCCCTCAGCACCACCCCTGCCCAGCTGTTAAATCCCCCCAGGGGTGGGGACTCGACCCCTTCCCTGGGCAGCCCCTTCCAGTGCCTGACAGCCCCAAGGGGAAGGAATTGTTCCCCATGCCCAACCTCACCCTGCCCTGGCACAACTTGAGGCCAGTGCCCCTCGTCCCATCGCCCGCTTGCTGAGCTGCTCAGGGCTGTGTGGCCGTGGTGCGGAGGGGGGACATGGGAGCAGGGAGGGGGGACGTGGGCAGTGGGATGTGGGCACCCTCCACTGCACCTTTCTCCAGCTGGTTTAAAGAGGAAAGGACGCGGGACAGTGCGGAGGTCGGTGTGCTGGGCTGGGCAGCCAGTCGCTGTGGGCATGTCTGGGGCTCACCTGGTTTGCATGACGTGTCATTAGGTGTAAAGGAGCATTGATTTTCTATCAAGAAGGGTACCCACTGTTCATTATTAATAAAAAAAAAATACAAAATTTATTTTTGTATGGGACAAAGGAATGTCTTGACTCTTGAATTTTAAAAAAGCAAGCAAGCAAACAAAACCCCCACAGCCCCTGTGGCCAGACTGCCCAGCCGCCGTTGTTACAGGGCATCCAAAGGATAAAGTTCCTGGTTTGTTTCTGGGAGACCTCTTTCCTGGAAATAGGTCCTCCGGTGAAATATAGGAAGTCAGCAAAAAGTCATTTGTTGTGTAGATAATGGGATCTTGCTTAATGATCGCATGCCCTGTCTTTGGGAGATTGCGCTACTGCTTGCCATTGGCTTTGGGTGATCTATGGGGGGGTGCATTTTTCTTTTGAAAATAAACGTCGAATCACATTGCATTTTGTTTTTGTTTCTTCCTTTTCCATTCCCTCCCCTTTTCAGATCTACCACAGTCCCATCACGAAGCAGGAAGAGAGTGAGTCGTGTCTGTTGCTGCTCTGAGCTGCGGGGGCTGGCCGGGGGGCGGGCGGTGGATGCATCTCCTCGCAGTCGCACTCGTCCTCGATTTCGGCTGAGCAGGCTGTGTTTTCAGTGCGACTTCTTCCCTTTTCATCACTGATACTGCTGGTGTCTGATACTGAGGCCAGATAAGAATGAGTTGCAAATGGTAAAAGTTACCGACTGCAACGTGCAGGTTTTATTTAGCAAGGACTAGCAGGATGCGGAGTTCAGTTTGCACACAGAGGGGAAAAAAGATCAGAGAGAGATTTTGGGTCTTTTCCCTTAGCACAGATTACAGTAGGAAAGCAGAGGTGGCATTTAGTGCCCCGGAGCTCCCATCCCGTGTCTCCCCTTGCAGAGGGAGCGGGCCCTACCCACAGCCCCGGGGCGGCTGCGGCCCCTTTGCCTCCCCCCGTTGCTGCAGTGGCTGAGCCGGCTGCCCTGGAGAACTCGGGGGCTCCGTTAGCTGGGCGACAGCCGGCACTCTGTATCTTAGCGCTTACTTTTATCAGCACTTTAATTAGCTGACTTTAACGAGCATGGAGGTGGTGTTACCAGAGGCATAAGCACGAAACCTGTTGTTTGACTGTTCGCATTGCACGCCTGGAAAGAACGCGACTCAGTTTCCCAACAGTAAACACACTCTATTTTTTATAAATCAGAGCTAGGACGACTTCATGTCGTGTTACACCACTGGGTACCAAGTGGACCCGTGTCTGTCCTCGTTCCTGTGACAGAGCTAAGGTACGCCTGTGCCTGGCTGTCGCTCGGAGAAGAGAGAAGCATTACAGCCAACCTGCTGACAGTACAGCGGCTTCACGGGTTCGCCAACGCAGCCCGGGCCGTCACTGGAGCTGGTCCAGACGTGTCTTGCAGCTGTTTTTTCGAGTAGAATGTTGGTTTATGTTAAAAACCCCACAAACCAACCACAACCACCCCCCAGCCCCCCCCGCAAAACCGTACAACTTACACCCCCCCAAAGAAAAACCCCAAACAAACCCAGCAGCATTCAGGTTGTTTAGGAGAAATTCGCTATAAATGTTTGCACTGAACCGAAGGATATTTCACGTTATACCTTGGACACTCCTTCCATGTATCCCGGAAAAAAACAGAAGTAGTGTGAGTAGAGAAGTTGAAATGTGTGCATGGAAACAAAGCCCGGCTTTCTGCCTGCAGAACCGGCGCAGAGGTATCTGTGGCTAACGGGCTGGAACAAAACCCGGTGTCCTGCTTCGCGCGGCGTAGCAAGCTGTACTGGCTTTGCTTTTTAATCTAGCCAAGGAGATAAGCAGAAATTCCACGATCCTGTGATGTGGAAGAGCTTTCACTGCAGATTTTGCAGTGCTCTGGGAATGATTAATCAGCTCCTTATCAGACACAAATTCGCATGTGGCGGGACTCTGATTGATGCTTTTATTATTAAAGACAGAAAGGGGGCAGGGAGCAATGCTGTAACTCAAAATAGACTCCAGGAAAAATGGGGAACATATGGAGCTAATAATTCCTTGTCAGGATTTAAAGAATGCCTGTGTTTTCACGGGGGGATGCACGCGGTGCAGATGCATGTGTGGACCCGGCCGTGCGCTGGGGCCCTGCAGCCTTGTGGCCGAGCAGGGTCCCGGCGTGGGGCCTTCCCAGAAGTTTTCCGCAGGCAGCTAACCCCGCTTCCCTTGTTTGACACAGTGGAGCTGAACGAGGTCGGCTTCAAGTTCGTACGGAAGTGCATCAACGCCGTGGAAACGAAAGGTGAGGTGCCCGCCATGGCGTCGGGGGTGCCGCCGTCCCCGCACGCCTCGCTCCCCGCGGCCTGGGGCTGCGTCGCGCTCTGCAGCGTAGCGCTGTTCGTTAAGATCCAAGTCGTGCGTCGTTGGCTGAAGAAGGCGTCGGAGGAGCAGAAGCCCTGCGCGGTCCGGACTGTCCTTACACCCGATTCTGGTTGGGATTTAATTTCCACCTTTGTGCTGTTTGCATTCATTGGTTTCCATCACTGGTTCTGAGGAAACTCCTCGTAAGGCCGGAGGATGGCTCTGGCAGGCTCTGTGCCGGGGGGGCGGGCGGGGGTCCGCTGGGCGCTGGGTTACGCAGCCC